CTTTTGGACGAAGCAACGCTCCCCTCGGTTGTCACCATTACTAGTTCCTCATCTGGCTGTAATTGTAGTTCACGCATTTTATGGGCACAGAAATTGTTTGGCTAACATCATGAATCCAGCTGAAATAAGTGCGCAGCTAGTAAATGTAAGTCGCTAACCAGTTTTATCTTTGACCACTGAGGCGGCTGCGCACGCAAGCTATGCAGGTGTCTGAAAGTTAGAACTGAGAAGGAGGCTTCATCCAGTAGGTTAATGAAAAATCCTTTCGATAAAGCAGCTGCAGGAGAGCACCCGATAGGTAGCGAAATAAAAATTTGGAGCAAGCCAAAGTCGTTCCCTTTTCAACAGCTTTGTCAACTTCTTAAAATTTCGCATTGAAACTTTTTTAGCTCAGATTAAAGGCTGAGCCCGCATTCAAATTTGATGAGTTATGCGGCTCAAATACTTATAACAAGGTAGCAAGTAACCCCTTAGTGAAGAAAAATCAGAAAGAAATCATAGGAAAGGCTCTATATAGAACCCCTTGCTTAATTGAGGTTGTACGTGCTCAAGGCGAAGAGAAGGTGCGGTCGCACGAGTTCTCACTTGTTGATATCAGCTGTTTTCCCTTATCACCTCACTCTCACTCGACGTGGAGAGAAGCAGCAGCGAAACAACCGCACCATCAGATAACCATTAGGAATGAATGGAGGGCGGTGCCAATGATTGTAGGTTGGGCCAATGAGAAGAACGACGGCATCGTGGGCCTCCTCACTCGTTTTTGCGCCGCGGTGTAGTTGTTGCCTCTGCGGACCTGACTACCTGCTCACGAAGGGAGAGCAAATCTCAACTGAACGCGTACGCTGCCTTTAAGTACGCCTAAGAAACTATTCTGAAAAATAGTGTGGCTGATTCAACTAGCTGTCGGATTAGGACAGTGAGGAATATCGCGATGGGGACACGGTCACCATGTTCATATCGAATCCATTTTCAAGATTTTCAAGGCTCTGAAAAGAAGACGGGACTGTAAAGCGTAATAAAAAACAAGGAAGAAGAGGAGGACTCCTGGATAAGTAAGACTCATTCTTTCTATAAGCCGAGTGAGACAAGCACGTCACTGCCCCATATCGTCGAATACGTGGAAGGAGATCCCTGTACTGTAAGGGCAAGCAGAACAGTGCAAAACTCACCAAGAAAGTTTGGAGAACAAATCTCGAGCCCTGATGGATCTCTCTTCAAAAGCGGAACTCACATTCCACTGCTATGTTTACAAAACCGTAGTGACTTTTGATGGCGATATGCCCTGTGCAATGAATTCCAGGCATGACTGGGGCGCTCTGCTACCATTTACTGCCGAAAGGAAGTCTAGCTCGGTTTTTATTGAGCGGGAGCAGATCTTGCCCCTGGCTCCCAGATCGTGGTAGGTGACTATGTTTTGAGTGTCGCCACCGCTACACTATCTGCACACCACTCTATCAGTACTATTGTTTGATTATAATGGTTTAAAACACCCCTCATTACCACTAAATGAGCTGAGACGATCGAATGACTGGACCGAAATAAGTTACACTTCATCAAAATCTGACTGGGCATTTCCACCATCAAATTCAGCTACACATTATACTATCACGATACTCCGCCACAGCCTTCTGGACGAGCGCCATCGAGAGATTCTGCCACGCGACCGTGATTCGGTGCCTGAGTTCAGCGAGGTCGTTGATTTCTCCGCCACTGTAGACCACCCTGTTGAGCTCCGCTCGAATCCTGTACGAGGGGGCCTGGGCAAGGTGGCGCAGTTGAATATTCCGTCTTATTCAGTACTCAACGCCTTCCATTCCAAGTAGGCGAGAGTTTTTCCAACGCCCTTCGATTCCGTGTGGAGGCACCCAATCCTGTAGCAGTACGAAGTCTCCAAGAAGGTACAGGCGATGACATGAAGGCAGGATATTCTCCACGAGCTGCCCGTCAGCGTCACTTTCAGTCCGGGTCCACGAAGAAAATATCGGTATTCACATTCCTTCCAGATCGAGAGTGCTGTTCCTCAGCTAGCTGTTCATGGGTGACTCGATACAAGAAGCTCTACAGCTGTTTAGAGGGTGACGTGAATTCACAGGCCTTTTCCTAACCTGGCGGCGATTGGAGATGACTTCATATTTTGGTGTACATGAAGGTGATGGGCGAGAGCCAGCTCCTGCTTATCGAGGAACATCTTGGGTATCTTCCGCCCTGGTACTCGTATCCACGTCTTCTGTCTGGGCTGCGAAAACTTTGCTGATATGTGACTCGGTCAAAGTGACTTTTTTGCCCCCCACCTGTATATAATAGAGGAGAGCACACAGTAATGAGCCTAGCAGGTTGGTCATAGTTGATGGATCACTTCCTCTCATGTGAACATTTCGTCTACAGATTACCCAAGGGTTTTCTTGGATACAGGGCAACATGGTTAGTGCAAGCCATTGTAAGCTTTTGAATCAGGGAGGAGTTATTGTGATGTGTCAAATGGCGGCGTCAGTGCGATGAGAAGGGACATTTTGCATTTCTGCTACTTCCATCGACTGTCGACCCATCTAGAGAGCCTTTTCTTGAGTTGACAGGTTTTACCATGGTGGCTCGACGAGCTTGCTCCAGCTTCACAAGAGTTCACAGGTTTCACCAGAGTGAGACTTGTAAACCGGAACTAGTGAAGCAGCGAAAGTGCAAAATGCCCATCCTCCCTCTCCCCATGCGCCGAACTGTTCTCTCCCATTTGACCTCATGGTGGGGGCGCACATGGTATGGAGACGGTACACATCATTGACCCATAGCTTATCACCTTTTAAAGCACGTAACGTGATAAGTGGATACGCGGAGAAAGAGGCAGGACTTGTAGCCACTGTGCTTTTATTGCTTCGTGTATGCGGTGAAGGAAAACGGCATAACATTTACGAATACCCGCCCATCGATTGTGGTGGAATATGCAGTAAGGTGCACCCGCGCCAGTAGAGTCTGTGATTAATAACAACACTGTTCAACTGTATAATACAGCGTGTAGAATAACTGCTCAACTGTATAGTACAGTGTTTCAGAAATTGAAAACCCTGGGAAGACTGAAGAAAAAGATAATTTTGGATTTTTCAATCATTCGAAGTAAGAATATCTCCTTTTTTATGGTCACTAATGTGTTTCTCAAGGCCTTTTATGGACTCAGTTCGGCTTAGTGTGGACAAAAATGGTACTGAGCAAAGTATGTACAGGCTAAATCACGAAAGCCTGTATCCTTGTGACTCATTCGCATCATTTTGATACTTCGCAGTAGGTTCAGGTCTCACCAATGTGTTATTTAAGATGAACCTACGAAGGGAACTAGCGAAAGCGCAAGATGCCCCTCCAAGCCTTTGCTACAGTTTCTGTAGAACCAAATTACAGCTGCATTACTTTTCTTAAGGTTTCTTCTATCTGACACCGACCACAGACGCCGTCTACCTTTACACGCCTACCGACGCACCATCGAAAATAGAAAGACAGGTGAATTTCCATTGGAATATTTTCTCATATCGCAGAGGTGCTTGAAAGTTCTATTCTGTTAGTACTTGGATAGATAGTGTTTCCATTTTGTTATTTAATGTTGTAGAATGTCATGCTGATGATTTTTTCATTGCCATTTGAAAGTTCAGATAATCCACGACTTGTGGCCATTGGGTGAGGACAACTACGTCCCCGGACGAGCCGTAACTCAAAGTCGAGAGGCTCAGGTGAGCAGTTCCCTTTTTCCAATTTTTCCTTTCTTGTTTTCTATGGCTTCACATGACTGTCACTATGGTAGTATTTCCACCAAAAAAGCTTATGAGAAATAAAACCATATAGGGAGAACCGAAAGGTGTGTATTGTAGTGCGGGCCCTAGTGCACGACCTAGTACCGTTTCGCGTCAGAAAGTTTTGGGCAGGGGTACAGATTCGCAAGATTACCCAAGCGGCTGCATCTGAGCGCAAGTGACTCGCCCCGCATTGCTGTCTGTCGTTTCGCTCGTTTGGACTCACTTGTCTGGTCTCTCGACATTGGATTTTCACCACTTGCTTAGAATTAACTAGACCAACATCCCAAACTTATTTGGGACGTTTAAGACAGTTCCTTTGCTTTTCGCACGGAATAGTCAGCTAGCTCATAGCATATTCCTCGAACAAAGATCCCCGGATTTGAGTGCTTTTTGCCAGCGAAATTGACTCCAATACCTAATAGTGATAAGGGAACACTTCTTAAGAAAAACATAACGAATGAATGCGGATCCCTTCCTTCCGGCGCTGTGAGCTAGGGCTCGGGGCTGCGCAACGCTCCATAGCCTACTGTGACGCTAGTGCATTAAACGTGCCACCTTCACACGATCCGATGCAACCATGCGTTGCGCTGAGTCGAGGTCGCTCATCATCCTGTTGAAGTTCTGAGCGATCTCCCCTGGCATGACGCCACCACTGACGCCCGCCAAGACGGGCTGATGACTTGACGAAGCATTTCCGAGCAGTAATGAAAGTTGGCCTAGGGCTTGCGCCATTCGAACCACCATATTCAAGTCGATGTTTCGTAAGCAACGACAACGTTGAGGCAAACGTGCTGCTACTACGACAGCTGTACATAGCTCTCAGGATCAGCCAGACGGATGGCCTGATTTAGTCGAGCCGATAGTCTTGCACCTCTTTGTATTGTCTGGTTCTGTGGCTATTTCTGTAAATTCTGAGTCTTTTTTGCCTTCACCAATGACAATTACGAAGAGCTTACGCTCTTGCTCATCTCCTCGTTAATAATCACGAATCCACCTTTTTCACGCGCCTATTTGACGGCTTAGTCGGTTTCATCATCGTACTCTTCACAAGTGCTCCAAGCTCATTACAGCAAGGTGAAGCATGCAGGAGGAACCGGAAACTGATTAAGCGGTACTCTTTCCTTCTCACAATTTTAAATCAATTAGTATTTACAGCTAACAGTGGTTGCCAAAGATGGCGGCAATATTCTTCTGCCAGAATATGCACGAGCAATCAAGAGGCTGGACATGTACATTCAGAACAGGATTCGGGTTCGTTCCCTTGTCTTGCTTTGAAAGTCCCACGCTTCGGTTTAGTATAGGCCATTGATTCTTCCAGGTAAAATTTCGCAACAAAACTTACACGTACCGTGACCTCTGTCTTCGATGGAAAAAGAAAGGGTGTCCTGGAAATGGACACATCCAGGTCATCTCCGAGCTTTACAACCACGGCATTAACATCACCTATCCGACGTTTCCGAATAGGAAGCAAGTGAGTTACACTGTCAAAAGGTCTTGTTATATTATTAGCAGGACTATTTCAGGAGCGGTTACATTGGTGCTGGCCTGGGAGGCGTTTCCTTGAGCAAGGACGACAACGGTACCGTAATTCTTGCGGCAGCTCGAGCATGGCTATTGGTTTATCAGCTAAAGTTTTTCCCTGTTAACGTTTCCTACGTGTCGGGAATTTGGGAGAAGGTAAGAAAAATTTGTCAAACTAACGAGGGAGGAAAGTTTTCGAATGCTATAGAAAATTCTTCCAAAACGGTACTGCCGCACAAAACAGTTCATTTTCAGTCTTTCAAGATGCACATGGACCATTATCCGGTAGACCCGTACATTTCCATCACGTATTTCCACTCACAAACTTTGGCCGAGGAGCTGAAACGAAACGCGGACAGCTTGGTTCCCAGGTAAGTGAAGCCTCCCTCGTCTCCGAAGTTGAGAATAGTGGGTCTTAGTAGAAGTTACATAACCGTTAAAGGCACACGACTCGCACAACCCTGTATGAAATAATCATGAGCGGAGGGGAGGTGGTAAGAGTGAGGGGTGGGTTTGTGCGAGTCACCGATCAAACGTGGCCCAGTGGTGGGGGTTCAACAGGGAATTCGTCAGTTCATCGTGAAGCTGCATGAATACGGAATGGTTAACCGTCTTTTGAAACCCTGTAGCAGTTTCAAATACTTGAGAGGCTTGTTTAGCACTGCTGCTCCCTTTGAGTCCCTCCCTCTATTCAGAGTCCTCCTCCTTGTAAATTCGGTATATGAGCCCGTCCAGTACGTGTTGGTGTACTTTTCGAGGTCTTCCAAAGGGCAATTCAGGACGCAATTAGCCTTGGAGGGGGCATTTAGCTGGTTCCTATCAATTTCTGCCGATGCCTCCTATGGATTCTTGTAAATTCCTGTAACGCTTTGCAATAGCATTAGCCTTATTTACATTTGACAAGAGGTCTGCAGGCCTACAGCAGTGAAACGTGTGCTGAAAAGGAACTAGCAAAAGAAACTATGCGAAAGTGCAAGATGCCCCCACCCCTAAGCCGAGCATGGCTCAGTTTATTTACTGGCTAGCGCCGTTTCTGATCACCCACTTCAGAGACCTTCAGGTGTTCAGAGACCGAAATGGACATTTCCTTGTCACGAACTCAATCCACTGTAGCATAAAGAGTTCCGACGACTGTGATAGATTCCCGGGTGACTTCTAGCCACCTTATCGGAACTGCTATAGTTGGTTGAGCGCTCGACGGGGCACCGTTCAGTCCTCAGATAAGGGACACCTTTTGACCTCTGTAGGATGACGGCTTCATAACGCCAGGCCGGTTAACAAAGTGACCAACGTAAAGACCCCAAAAAGCTTAGTTATACAAGCTGCTCACTACCGATAATCCCTTTGGGGATACCACTTACGCTTAAAATGTCACTGTAGCGCCTGCCTTCTTCAAATGAATGTCAAGCTTCTCCTGGCTTAAATACTTCCACGAGCGTTGGTTTTCAGATTTATCGCTGCTTTTGTTATTCTTGTCGTCTTCGCCGTAATCTGCTCGCTGGTCACAATCAAAGGTGAGTTGGTGTCACTTATCATGGGCAAGCAAAAACCTCGGAAGGGTGCGAACTGAGAACTACCCTTAAAAAAACTTCTATTTTTTGATGTTCCTAATGTTATTAGTGCCTCAGTTAAACAACTTCTTGCTAATGCTGATAATTAAATGACTCTACACGATTGTAGAAAGGATTTCTTGAAGAATAAGTGTTTTAGACTCATTTGCAATGAGCTTGGTCATTAAGGAACCTTCTACGTTGATTGGGTTCTGTCGAAGCCGATTCTCTCAGTACTGGGAGTGGCAAACGCTGGTATGGGAATTGCGAGTGCTATGGGAGGACTGGTACTTCTGGGAGTACAGTATAACGACATAGTGGCTGTGATGCCCTTTCTTGTTGTTGGTGAGTCTATCGCAAGTTCAACAGAACAGTTCTACCTCCTAACAATCTCTACTCATTTTTTTTCTCGAGCAATGAATCGATAGTAAATGAACCCAGTTACGGTTTCCAGCTGTGGGCACGGATAACATGTTTTTGATGGTAGCTGCAGTAAAAAGGACTTCACGGATCCTTCCAGTCGAAAAACGTATTGGCGAGTGTATGTCCGATGCTGCAGTGTCCATACTCATCACAGCACTCACCGGTGAGCTCTTCACTTCTGAGTCTTTTCTTCAGTTACAGGGTTATCCGAAGCAATAGGGGCAACTCTACATCCTCAGATATACCATTTTCACTTTAAATTCACCACTTTTCAAACCAAATTCACCACTCTTTTTAGACCGGGCAGTTCACCAACCAGATCACGCCAGACACCACTGCGAGCCCCGCCCCGACGGCCACGCCTACTTGTCAGCGCGGACATAGATTTCCATAACATTAACATGTTTTTTGCGAACGAAATTTCATAACTTTTTCAACTTTTCATTTTGCACAACGAATATACTCGTACCCGCGCATTTATGCACTGGCAATTTAGGCTCCGCCCCCTTGGCCACGCCCACTTGCTTTTTGCGGAATTTTGATATTTTTTCAAAATTTTTGCATTTTTGGACTGCTCCATGAAGCCCCGCCCACTGTGAGAGGCTCCGCCCACTTCGAAGAAGCCCCGCCCACTTTTCAAAAATGGTGCAACTCGGCAGTATAGGTCTTGCATGCTAGGGTCTCGTCCGTCACTCGGAACAAACTTTGCCTGATTTATTTGTTCCGAGTGACGGACGAGACCCTAGCATGCAAGCCAAGACTCTATACTGCCGATTTGCACCATTTTTGAAAAGTGGGCGGGGCTTCTTCGAAGTGGGCGGAGCCTCTCACAGTGGGCGGGGCTTCATGGAGCAGTCCAAAAATGCAAAAATTTTGAAAAAATATCAAAATTCCGCAAAAAAGTGGGCGTGGCCAAGGGGGCGGAGCCTAAGTTGCCAGTGCATAAATGCGCGGGTACGAGTGTATCTTCGTTGTGCAAAGAGTGGATGTGAAATTAAAAAGTTGAAAAAGTTATGAAATTTCGAAGTTCGCAACAAACCCTTTGAAGACTGGGCGGAGTCGGCCATGTGTTGAAAATCTATGTCCGCGCTGACAAGTAGGCGTGACCGGGCTCGCAGTGGTGTCTGGCGTGATCTGGTTGGTGAACCGCCCGGTCTAAACAGAATGGTAAATTTGATTTGAAAAGTGGTGAAGTTGGTTTGAAAAGTGGTGAATTTGGTTTAGAAGTGGTGATTTCAAAGCGAAAATTATATATGAGAATTAACTAGAAAATTATGGCATCATTTCCAAGTGGCGATAGCACAGCTAGTTGATGTGAGAGGCATAGACCGAATAGAGTCGGCATACTATACTCAGCACTACTACATTGAGTGGAAGTGAGTCCTAGTGCGAATACTACGCACAACACCCCGCTTGCAGTGCTCCTTCTTAGCGCTCGTCACAGTACAGAAATAACGCTGTACGCTCTCCATCCTCTATCCTACTTAACTTCTTTTCGACATTGAAAATCAGGAAAATAAGGCGTGTGGGTGTTACATGGTTGCCCGCCTTCTTGTACAGGAGCGAGAGAATCGCGAATAGCAGTCTGCGCGGTGCTAATCGCTTCAAAGGCAAACCTCGCAATCGTTCATTGATGGTAGTGGCGCTCAACAACCAATCGATAACCGCCTAGTTATTTTCCTGAAAAAAAAAACCAGAAAAATATTATGGAGAGCACTCTATGTAAGTACCCCCTGGCAGCCTGTAACGAGTTTCTCGGACCTGCTCGCTTTATGCCAGTAAAGCGATATCCTCCACTTCTGGCTTACTAATCGTTTCAATTTCGCGTCATCCAATGCTAATACTATCAGACAGTGAACAAAAAAAAACGAAAAAGAAGTGATGAATGCGAAAAACTCGCCACTAATCTCGTGTCAGAAAATGGCCTCTAAGTTTTGGTGGGCGGGGTAACTAGGTAGTCGTCAGAACTGCAACCCATAAGAGCCGCAAGACCTTCCTTACTTCCTGTGATGCCGCGAAAGTGGGACACGCTTATGGCTAGAGACCGATTGCAAGAATACTTGTACAAGGAAAGGAAACTTACCCGGTCTATGAGTGTTCCGCAGATAAATCTAGCCATTCTGCAAAGGTTTGGGGCGTGTTAGGAGGGGGAGGGGGGAGGGCGGGGTGGATTGGGCGTGGCGCGAGCACGTCTCCCATTAGTTGTTGTCGCTTGCCCGCTTCAACAATTAGTGAAGACTGGCGCCTCGACAAACTCATTCCCTTGACACGCCCCGGCTTCTGATGTGACAACGTCCGCCCAGGTGCGACCACAACGTGGCTTCATCTCGAAGGCTAATTTTGAAATGTGACCAATTGCCACCAATTTGACTTATTTCTGCGAAAATTCACTCATACAAATCTTCGAATAACACCGCTTGCTTTCAGATGCCTTCTCATTTGGTGTCGGCACGATCACTACAATCCCAGCTGTGCAGATATTTTGTATCTACACCTGCTGCGCCCTTGTGCTCACCTTCTTATATCAGGTTAACAGCTTTTCAAAACAGTCTTATGAAAGTCTCATGCCGGATACAAAATTATAGATCACATTCTTCTGCGCTCTTTTGTCGCTGGCCACGAAATGGGAGGCAGAGGACCGGCATTGTCTGTGGCTGAAGACTACAATACCACCCAAGGCGAGCGCAAACACCCCAGCCTTCCACTGGATTTTTTTCAAATGGCAAGTCG